AGACTGTGAGGTTCCCAAAGTTTGGTGATAGTCGAGAGCTGATGTTTGTATCTGCCAAGAAAGTAGAGGAACTCTTAGGAGATGAGACTCAGATGTTTGCATTGTTTGCATCACTTCAAGTTGATTATGAAGCAGTGAGAATGGAGCTACCAGTTGTTCGGGAATTTCCAGAGGTGTTTCCATGCGACGTGAGTGACTTGCCTCCTGAGTGTGAGGTAGAGTTTACTATTGATGTGATAGAGGGAACTAGTCTTGTGTTGATGGCTCCTTATCTGATGTCTGCATCTGAGTTAGGGGAATTGAAGAAACAGTTGGAAGATTTGCTTGAGAAGAAGTTTATTCGACCGAGTGTTTCTCCGTGGGGTGCTCCTGTGTTGTTAGTGAAGCAGAAAGATGGTAGCATTAGGTTTTGTGTTGATTATCGGCAGTTGAATAAAGTAATAATCAAGAATAAGTATCCACTTCCGAGGATTGATGATTTGATGGATCAATTGGTGGGTGCTTGTGCGCTTAGCAAGATTGATTTGAGGCCTGGTTATCATCTGATTCGCGTTAAGCCTGATGATATTCCGAAGACAGCTTTCAGGACGAGATATGGACACTATGAATATACTGTGATGCCGTTTGGTGTATCTAATGCACCTGGTGTAGTCATGGAGTATATGAATAGGATTTTTCATTCTTATTTGGATCAGTGTGTGGTAGTGTTCATTGACGATATCTTGATATATTCTAAGTCCGAGGAAGAGCATGCGCAACATCTAGGAGTGGTATTGCAGGTTTTGAAGGACAAGAAGCTTTATGCCAAGTTGTCCAAGTGTGATTTTTGGTTGAAGGAAGTGATTTTCCTTGGCCATGTGATTTCTAGGGGAGGAATTGTTGTTGATCCGTCGAAAGTTGATGATGTGTTGCAGTGGGAGACTCCAAAGTCTGCTATTGAGATTCAAAGTTTCCTTGGATTGGCTGGTTATTATTGCAGGTTTATAGAAGGCTTTTCTAAGTTGGCACTTCCATTGACTCAGTTGACTCGAAAGGGGCAAGCTTACGTGTGGGATGTGGCTTGCGAGAAGAGTTTTGTAGAACTCAAGAAGAAGTTGACGACTGCTCTAGTGTTGATTTTGCCAAATCCGAGTGAGTCTTTTATAGTGTATTGTGATGCGTCAAAGATGGGTCTTAGAGGCTATTGATGCAGAATGGTCAGGTTGTTGCTTATGCTTCCAGACAATTGAGGGTTCATGAAAGGAATTATCCTACGCATGACTTAGAGGGAACTATGTCAGGATTCTGAGGTATATCCAAAAGAGTTCATAAAGTTCATAGGTGCTATTCTGAGGTATATCAAGGGAACTATGAAGTATGAAGTGCTATTCTCTTTTGCTGTCAGGATTCTGACGTATATCAAGGGAACTATGAAGTATGAAGTGCTATTCTCTTTTGCTGTCAGGATTCTGACGTATATCAAGGGAACTATGAAATATGAAGTGCTATTCTCTTTTGGAAGAAAGACTAATTCAGAGGTGATGAGTTACTCGGACTCTGATTGGTGTGGAAATAGAGTTGACATGAGAAATACTTCTGGATACTTGTTTAAGTTTCTAAGAGGTCCTATTTCTTGGTGTTTCAAGAAGCAACTTGTTGTTGCACTGTCAATGTGTGAAGCTGAGTACATCACAGGTATTGTAGCTGCATGTCAAGCTGTATGGCTTCTAAATTTGCTACAGGATCTGAAGATTAAAGTAAACAAGCCTCTGAAGCTGATTGATAACAAGTCTGCAATCAATCTTGCCAAGAACTCAATTCTGCACGAAAGAAGCAAACATATTGAGACAAAATATCATTTTCTAAGAAGTCAAGTCCATAATGGAGTGTTAGAAGTTGTTCACTGTAACACCCAGAAGCAGCTGGCAGATGTTCAGACAAAGGTAATCAAGACGGATCAATTTCTCCACTTAAGGGATGAAATTGGTGTTGTTAGTTTTGATTAGAAAATTCTAAATTAAGGGATGGTATTGAAGGGTAATTTAGTATTTTAGTGTGTTGTCTATGTGGTCTTAATATTTGTGAATAAATAGATTAGTGGTAACTGTCATTTATTTCATCCATCATCTTTCTTACAACTTTTATAGCCGTCATTGTAAAACAATAAATATTTTCTTATTTCTTTTGTTTTCATCACTTTGTGTACTAACAAATGACACTTAAGACTTGAGGAGATGAAGATCGGGGCTTGCATTCAAATTTATATATTCCATCACTCCCAATAAATCCACTAAGAAGCACCCTAGAGGTAGCTTGACATTTGACATAGCAGGAATTTGCATAGAACTCAAAGTAAACAGAGTTGTCCCTAGCAAATTATTTCACACTAAACTGAGTTTTAGTAATAGATGGGACAAAAGAAGTTTGTTTAGTTTAAGAGTTGTGTTAGGATATAAGTTTGAAGGAAATGCCATTAAGCCAAGATAAGTAATGGACAAACCTTGACCATTTCCGATGTGGACATTGTCAGATCCAGAGAAAGAGATCGAGTCCATGAAGTTAGAAGCATCAGGGGTAACATTGTGCATTGCACCTAATTAGGGTAGTGGGCTTGGTTGTAGAAGGAAGATGTGTCAGTGCCTACTACATAGGCTTGAGGCCTGAGTACTGTGAACTAAGAGTGTAATGCTGAACTCACGGGTCTCTTAGAACCAATTTGCAAGGTACTTGATGCTCTATAGCAGTTTGTATCCTCACATTTGATTGAGGAGAACCATAGCTACCATAAGGATCTGGTGAAAGACGATAACAGAAATAATTAGCATCATGTCCAGGTTTGTAAAAATTTTAACATTGAACAAAGCTCCTGTTGCTATCACAACCATCGGGGCCTCTGAAACTTCCACCACAAAAACCACGACCACGAGAGTAGTTGCCACGAATTGTATAAAAATTGTGGAGTTAAACTAAGATGAGCCAATGGAATGTATGTCTAAATTGTGTCCATTCTCAACACAAACTTTATTTGAATCAACATATAATTGACTTGTGTGCAGGTGTGCATTATTTGAAGTTAGATGATGTGATCCAACCGAATTAGCAAACCAATATTGGGAATCAAGTTTCGAAGGTGCGTGCAACTCTTAAGTCAAGCCAAAAGGATCGCGAGTTTCTACAAATGCATTAACAAGTTGCTGAAACAAGTCAATAACATGTAGAGTGAGCCTTGATGGTTGGAGGAAGCAGAGACAGATCATTCATCATATTGATGCGAACAATGAAGGACATTATGTCCATGTTTTCCACAGTTAACATGTAGGTCTGTTGTTATCTGTGCAAGCAATTCCTCCACGACCACGGCTATAGGAAAGATTATTATGCCCTCGACCTCTAACGTTTGAGTAACCACCACGGTTATCATAATTATTTTGCTTCGAATTGAATGTGCAAGATTTGCAGAAATAGTGGACAACGACAATTCTTGTTTAAATTTGTCTACTTAAGGTTCTTGAACATATAATAGAGCTTCTACATCATAGATTTGTATCACAAAAGGGATATATTCCTCAAGAAAGCCCTCTAAGATCACATCAATCTGAGTTACTTCTGTAACTAGGTCATTAACAAAAGAAAGGAATTTGCATGGCTTTGATTCGAAACACATGATAGATTAGATTTCTTGGTGGTTTTGAGTTCTTAACCAAGTTGACAAACCTTTGATGATTTCTTGGTGGTTTTGAGTTCTTAACCAAGTTGACAAACCTTGGATTTCATCATGGTATTGAAGTGTTTGTGGACTTTGTCCCATTCTTCATATGCGTGTTTGCATGCAAACAATCGAGGAAGAACAACTTTAGATACTGTTGAGAGCAACTAGAAGAGCAAAGTTTGATTTCAGCTTGATGTTCTAATTTGGTTTGAACTTCAATGGGATTCGTAGATTAACAACAAATTTATGCATTTTGCTGGTGAGAATTACTCCTTCCACCTTTTGATTCCGACGAAAAAAGTTAATATTGTGTAACTTTATTGACAATTTGTGCCCAATGCACGTTGTTTAATGAGCTCAAGCGAGAGAAAGAAGTGATGAAGTTTTGAGAATTTGAAGGAGAGGAAGAAGTGATGAAGTTTTGAAAATTTAAAGGAAATTCTTGTGAATTTTGACTAGAGCCGTCAAGTTCGGCCATAGAGAAGATGAAATTGAGAACTTGGTATGATGATGAATATTGAGTCTTCTTTGAAATTAAAGAACAACATTGTTACTGAAGCTTTAGGAATAAGATGTTAATTGTGCTTAATCTAAGCAATTAATACCATAATGGAATTGAGTTTCACTAATTTCATCTTAACATTGAATTAGTTACATCTCACTTTATATAGTGAGTAATCCAAAGCATAGAGTTTGTTACATATATGAACTAACTTTACCAAACTACTAACTAACTATCTTATATCTCTATTATCAAAATAAACCTTTACGAGTTTGCCTAGAATATTTTATAATGAAAAATAAAATAAATTTAAATTATTTTTATACATATTATAATTTTACTCCAAAAGTTATAAAAAATAAATTGAAAAAAAGTTGGTAAAAAATATCATTAGCTATTTTGATAACAAAATTTATACTAATAGATAGGCTCAAGTAGGTCATAAAAATATGCTCAATCTCTGAAAACTTCAACTTGTAAGTATTGTTGCTTCAAAATATTAATTTTAAAGAAAAATGCAAAACTGTAGAAAGAAATAGTGATTAGTGATGCAGAACTTAGATTAAAACCTAATCTGACAAACAATTTAGCATCGTTATATATCTTTCATTTCAATCAAATATTCTGTTACATTGATATACATTTCACTACATGTTAGAATAATAAAAATTAACGAAGATTCAATAAATATACACAACTTTGCTAGAAAGGTTAAACTTTGGATGAGTTAAAACAGATGAAAATTTTCAAGTGTTACCCACACCATCTACGTTGGAGAAGAGATAGTAATTATCTTCATCATCTACACAACTATGTCAATAGTGGTGCTGTCAAAGAGTTGGAAGGATGGTGGAAGTCCATTGTGCAAGTTACTATCACACCAAGTAATGCACACACAGAAGGAACAAGACCCAAGCCCAACCTTGTGATTGAAGGTGGGTACTGATGAATTACCAAGAACTGTGGAGAGACATCTGCATTCATAATTTGAAAATTTATAAGTGTAATAAGTTGGGCCAGAGCCCCCGCCCCGGTTTTAAATCATCTCATAGGACAAAACCGGGCTAGTCCAAAGAATCGTCGGGCTTAACATAAACGTAGAATCTTACGATCCTACGAGCAAGATCGCGATTCTGACTACCATGCATATGAAACCTTGTATAAACTAGCAACTATCACACAAAACGGACAAATGACTAGCTTTGCGCTGGTAGAGTAATCAATTGGCGTACTATGTGTGTACAATAAAATAATTAAAAACATGATATAATTTATAAAAGGAATTTAAGAAACTTACTTTGATAAGACTGAAGAATATATAAAGCAATCCCACAAGACATTTTGTCCAGAAAGCTCAATGAACCAATAACAAAAGCACAGCCATTAAGATTCTCTCCGATTAGAAAATTTTGCATGCTTACACCAGTTACCTATTATTGACAAGAGAAATGATCTTCAAAACAACCGAAATAAAAGATAGAAGATTCTTTTTCTTTATAGACATCTAATCAAGTAAAAATCAGATTATACCATCATGAGGGCATTTGCTATGCCAATAAATACTGAAATTATGTACATGGCATAACTCGTATGCTTAGTTAAAAGCATGATCACTGTGCCACACAAAATCCAAAGAATGCATCCAGCAGAAAAGTAAGTCTTGAGAAGTTTGCCTGTCCATGCAATCTCCTACAGAAGAGTAAACAAATTTAATTGTGGAGATTGACAAAATAAAAATATATTAAAGAAAAATATATATATATCTATCAATTAAGGATAGATATTTAAGAAGCGAACCTGTAATGCGATAGATACAATGAAACTGCTGATGTATATGATAGCAGGAACCTATTCAGTCATCATCAAATAGTGTTAACAGCTTCATCTTAGTTCAAACTTCAGACAGTATAATCATATAAAAAATGAAACGAATTTAAAATGGAGAATATTTGTTGTGTACCAAAGCTTTGGCTGATTGTGCCATTTGTAGGTCATTGATCACATAGAAAGCAAGGTAGGCCTGAAAAATAACCCATTTGGCAAAGCTTATGGAAACAACTTATAATATGTCCATGAACGGTTTTCAACTTATTTCTATAAAATCTCTAGGATAGTTTATGAAAATTGAAAATAGCTTATAATTCTATAAACTCTCTAGGATAGTTTACGAAAATCGAAAATAGCTTATAACTTGAATAAAAATTGTTTACTTCATTTTATTATTATAGAAATCGCTTATGCCATAAGTACTTAACTAAGTTGTTAATCTAACTGCTGTCTTTCGTTCCAAATTCAATGCAGCCATGAAGTTTCAGTTTCCTTAAAATTATGTTCCTAAAGGCGTCTTCATCAAACACTATTCAATTCAATTTGTGAAACATATTAAGCCTCTCATCTTCCAAGATAATGAACACAAAATAAAAAGAGGAAAATATCCTAACCTGAGAAACGTTGAGAACTAATCTCGTGAGGACATAAATAATAGCAACTTGGTAATATAAAACTCTCTTGAACCAGTAAGCCCATGAAATCCTTCCACGAGTCTTTCCGTATATGTCCATTTGCAAACTGAGAAGAAAACATAAAATTCATTTTCTCACAACAATAACTGAAAGGGCTGAAGCAACCTATTCTATAGGACAGTTTTTATAGGAATATTATAATGGACCTCGAAGCACACCTGGGCTCTTTCGTCGCAAGATGAAATATGCCCACAAAGCAACATCCTATAAAAATCGAGACATATGCAATCCAACGGTACTGTTCATTCGAAATTAGAACAAAGTGAGTATACTCAACAACGTATGTCCATTGATAGATAAAAAAAAAATACATCGGAAACATACCTGATTCTCAACATTGGCATATGTTTTTCCGTTAACGACAGTGAATACTATCAAAGCAATTGCATATAGACTCAGGTTGGCAACCTATAAAGATATAATTATATGCATTTAGTAATAATAAATATGAACATCCCACCTATTTCTCTTATAACTATAAGAAACTTTATCTAGAAGCTTACCATGGTAAAAGCATTGCGACAGCTAGCCAATGCAACTCTGCTTGTTGCGTTCAGTGTGATGCAACTCACCATGGACCTTCATGAAACAATTCAAAGAAAACACAAATGAACATGACTTCAAATTGAAAAGTGATCCCTTATTTGTTTTGTGTACAAATTATTAAGAACAGTCAGCAGAGTAATTCCTAACACTAAGGGACCAATTTCGAAATTAAAAATGAAAACAGAACTTTTTCAAATCAGCAATTCCTAACATTTACTCCCTCCGTCCCACAATGAGTGACCCATTTAGAATAAAAGTGTGTCCTAAAATGAATGACCCATTTCAATTTTCAATGCAAATTTTCCAATTTTACTCTCTAATTAATGTTACTATCATCATTCCCAATAAATGATAAGGGTAGTTTGGTAAAAATATCATTCTCTCTCCCTTATTTATTCTTTTTTCTTAATCTGCGTGAAAAGTCAACTGGATCACTCATTGTGGGACGAAGGAAGTACAAAAGAAAAAGATAAAATTGAGGGACGGAGGGAGTCAAAAGAAAAAGATAAATTTGACAAAAGTTATTACATGTGTGAGACCTGAGTAGCAGCCCATCCCAAGTTGAAAATTGCTGCAAACATGCTGTAACTCACGGTTTCAAAAGCATTTGAATCAGAAGTAAGAATTGTGCATGGTAGACAACGACCAAAAACTGAAGAAAATGAAATAGCCACCAATAAAGATCCAGCACCGTGCCATATCTTGAAACGTCCAAATCTGTCTATCTATCAAGCAAGATAACAGAAGTAAGCATTTCTATCAAAATAAGATCTGAATAGCAAAAAAAATCAGATACGGAAAAATAGAGCAGCACCAAAACTAGACAGAGTGACAAACTATTAAAGTTTCTTAAAATCATAAGAAAGTGAAAGCTAGATTAGCATTAGCTCAATCAAATGACGTTCAGTTCGTGTACATCCAAACTAAATGTTGAAACTCACAAAAATTAAAATAAGAGTGTTTGGATGATGCAATTGAAGAATTTAAGTGAACATAACTATTTATAGTTAAATTTTACACAATAGTTATGGTTTTATAACTATATTTGAGCCAGAATTTTATGCAATAATTGAGGTTTTATAAGATGATATCATGTAGCTAGAAAACATTAGATAAACTCAGCTTAAACTCCAAAACAAATATCTGTTACCTACGTTATAAAAGATGATTATATTAGGAACACGCAAATGTTCTTAGTGACGGAAGAATATAAGTATTTCCCGGGTGTGAAAAGAAAATTTTTGTTTATATACCAGTTCACCAACAAATACAGTGGCAAATGCATCAGCCACTTGACCTGAAAGCATCACAATAGCTGCATTCCTGTGAAATGGTGAAAATGAAGAAAGAAATGTAAAGATAACTCTATGTGGAAGCCACAAACAACAGTAAACGTTTTCTCGAATTCTCCATTTCAGTATTCCATTACCTCAATTAACATGCAATTGCACAAAAGTTAACTACACTAGTCTAGAACAAGTGCAAAATCTTAAATAGAAAAAAGTTGAGCATAAATTGCACCTTGGTGAAAATCCAATATCTGTCAAGAACAATAACAGATAGGTGAACCAACAAGCAGCAGTTATGTCATTGAGCATGTGTCCTATGCCATAATAAAATATAGGCCCTCTTCCTAGGGATTTAGTGAATGCAACTTCTTCGTCAACGACAGCATCCATCAACGCACTTCAGATGAAAACAAAAGCAAACCTATCATGTATCAATTGAAGATTTTAGCTAGCAATCTTTCTTGAAGAATGAGCTTTTTTTATGTGGCAGAGTAAGCAGTATTGTTAAATAGCAGTTATAGAGGTGCTATATCGTGGCAGAATTTGAACAGATGGCTATTGTTCAAACAAATCAACAGTGTGCACTGATTTTGCAAGGGTATATCTGAATTTCAACAGACTGTGCAGGGCTTTAACTCTATTACCAAGAACAAGAAAAGGTATCATCAGAATCAAAATCAAGAATGAAAAGCATATGCATAACCAAGCATGCATGAAGTGTACCAACATTAGAGCTAAATGCATCAACTATCATTGTAGCTTTTAATTAGGTTATTCCCCGAAACTGAACTTCTTGATCCCAAATTGGTCATTCAATTAGGAAACAAGTGAAATCACAGAGATTTATCATTTATAGCATATTTATAGCATAAAACACTCGAAATGTCACCTAAAATCAAATCATATCACATATTTATAGCATAAAACACTCAAAATAGAAAGTGATAGTGATCCGCATCATTCAAATCGTTCCAAATTACAATTGCTAGGTTTAGAAATCTCTGCAATGGCATAGCAACTACAAATGGGGGTCATGCAATACGAAAGATGACAGCACAACAGTAACCACAAACACAATTTAGAATCTTACATTCAAAAACATCAATTGAGAAGAAAAAACAAACACATTGCATGCATAACCAATGAAAAACAGTAGCAGAAAAACTGAACCCAAAAAAACTATTACTCTCAAACCTTTTTCAGTACCGAGAATCACAAAACATTAAGCACGCAGAATTCAACACGCAAAAGAAAAAAACAAAAAGAAAACCAAAAAAATCCAAAATAGGCAAGTTCATGAGAAGGGTTTTGGATCACATACAGTAGAAAAATAGGAATTTAAAACTTGAAAGCTACGCAAAGCAAGAATCCAATCAAGAGATCATTCCAAGTTGAAATTGAAACGCATCAAAGGGGGTCCAACTCCAAACAAAGATGTGTACACAAAAAGGAAGATAAAATAAAATATCCATACCGTATAATAGCTTTGGAATAAAATGTAGTATAATAATATTATAGATAGATTGAAAGATTCAAAAGTTTGTTTTGTTGATATGAAGACAATTTTCATAGGCTATTGCAAGCGGTTGTGTGCAGTTGAAGGTTGCATGTTAGTGTTGACTGTGACCGGTTTGGTTTGGTGGGATTCTTAAATTCGTCAAATGACAATAATGTCCCTAGTCATTTCATGCGTTCGTCCAATGGACACGTTATGATTCACATTGACAAGCGTTCTTCATTCTCTGACGTAGAATGCATTTCATTCATTTTAACTTTTGTGTCATATTAATAACTACTCTTTTTTAATTGTTATGCTTCGATTTTTCATAAAAAGGTTTAATTGTTAAGAATTCTAATATAAAAATATTTTACACTATCATATTATTCTATTATATTGTATAATTAATTTAAAATTTTAGTATGATTTAAAAATATTTATGGTTTCACATCATTTTTTTTCTTTTTATAAAATCTAATAATTATTTTTATTTTTTAAATAATATTCATTATTTTAATTTTTTTTCTCTTTTATATTTCATCATTCTCATAATAATTATTTTGTTTGAATTATGCACGATTTTTAAAAAATTATTAGATAGGTTGATTTTAATAAAAAAAAATAGTATATTTTATTAAAATATTTTTATTTATAATTGAATAGTTAAAAAACATAAAAATTACTCCTCCATTTTATAAAAAGTGTTTCATTTATAAATTTTTTTATCTCAAAATAATTGTTCATTTACATTATTAACATAACATTTATTATTATTTTGTCACTTTTATACCTTTATTTATTAACTTTCACTTTATTCACCTACTTTATTAACTATATTTATTAAGGATATTCTAATAAATGACATTAGTTTTTTTAACTAAAATTAACACATCTCTAAAAATGGCACATTGATCAAATAAAATATTTGACGAATGATGAAATAAATAGATATAATAGTGAAAAAAAATAATATATTTTATATTAATATTTTTAAAATATATTTATTTTGAAACATAAAAAAATATAAATAGAGATATAATAGTGAGAAAAAAATAATAAATATTATATTAATATTTTAAAAATATATTTATTTTGAAACATAAAAAAATAAAAAATAAGATATTTTTTATGAGACGGGAGGAGTAATAATTACTAAAGATAATTTTGACAAAATTATAAATATTAAGAGAACCATTTATTAAGTGAACATAACCATTATACTTTTTTAAAACTTTTCTATAATAAAAAATTATTTTAAACTTTTTTAAAACTATTTTAATATAAAAGTATTTAAATTCAAATCAATTCAAATTAAAACTATAAATTTATTAAAAAATTAAAAATCATATAAATTTAAATTCGAACTTTAAATTATTTTTTCAAAACCACCCGTTAAAAAACACCTAAAATTATTTTAACTGACTAATTTCAAAAATCAAACAGAAATTTTATATCAAAATAACTTCAACAACCAAATAAAATCACACTCTTGAAACAAAAATCCAATAAAAGAACTAAGGTGACTTTTAACAAAGATTAAGAGAGTGAAACGTGAGAATGAAAAAAGGATGATTTTGCAAAAGTATATCTGAATTTGAACAGATTATTCAGGGCTTAACTCTATTACCAAGAAAAAGAAAAGGGTATCATTGGAATTAAAATCAAGAATGAAAAGCATATGCATAACCAAGCATGCATGAAGTGAACTATTGCTAAATGCATCAACCAAGCACATAGAATTCATTCAACACATGCAAAAGAAAAAAACAAAAACAAAAAAAAAAAATCCAAAATAGGCAAGTTCATAAGAAAGGTTTTTGATCACATACAGGACAAAAATAGGAATTTAAGACTTGAAAGCTACACAAAGCGAGAATTCCATCGTTCCATGTTGAAACTGAAACGCATCAAAGGGATCCAAACAAAAAGATGTGTACAGAAAAAAAAGAATGACTTTTGAAAACTCAGTGGCACACTGTTCAAAAAAATAAATAAAAAAATATTCTATAAAATAATATTATAATAGATTGAAAGATTCAAGAGTTTGTTTTGTGTATAGGAAGACAATTTTCATAGGCTATTGCAAGCGGTTGTGTGCAGTTGAGGGATACATGTTATTGTTGACTGGGATTCTGTCGAATGACAATAATGTCCCTCTTGATGTCGTGCTTCATCTATTCATGCGTTCGTCCAATGGACACGTTATGATTCACGTTGACAAGTGCTACTTTATTTTTTGAACTATTACCTATTGGTCAATGCATTCCATCCATTTTCATTTTGGGTGATAATAACATTACACCAAACAGTTAGTGTCTAGATTTATGTAAGGAAGAAACTCTCATGCCTTCTCCGTTGTTGGACTGTTTGGTGACACTAATATAAAACAATTTTGAATATTTTCTTGTGAATTAATATAATGATATAAGTTATTAATTTAGTTATATAATATTAAATTAATAAAAAAATTAAAGAAAGTACATCATTAAAAAAAATTAGTGTCATATTTTACGTAAAATATTTATACTATTAGAAATACAACTATTATACTAATATAATAATTGGCATTATTGTTTTAACTTTGACAAATTATACATTTATAATAATTGGTCATTCTTATTAAAACAGATATTTCTAATTAATAATAATATTATTTTTGTTTATTATAACACACCCCCTTTGAAATATCTATTTCGATACTCTATTGAAGTATCGTCGAGGAGAAATTTATGGAAACATATGTTGTCTCGTTAAAAACTTTATTAGAAAAAATTCATTGCGGTAAAAATCTTAATAAGGAAAAAAAGGGTACAACATGATGTTCCCCCTCAACATAACACGTTTAATTCTTCTTTAAAGATCTCGAAGGTGAGGCATTTTAATATTTTGTACATGCTTCTTGAAAACTGATGTAGGATGTGTCTTTTTGAAGAGATCTGTCATATTATCACTTGAACGAATATATTGAATATCAACCTTTGTTTCTTTTGAGTTCTTGTGTGAATGAGAAGAACTTTTGATGGATATGCTTGGTTCTATAAGTTTTGATGTAATCTTATTTCATCTGAGTAACACATGCAACATTGTCTTCATACAAAATTGTTGGATTATTTTCAATTGGTAAACCAGACACTCCTTTGATATGTCAAGTTATCGATCGTAACCATCTACAATCTTTACTTGCTTCATGAAGGACAATTACTTCAGCATGATTTGAAGAAGTTGCTATAAGTGTTTGTTTTTGTGATCTCCATGATATTGCAGTGTTACCATATCTAAATATATATTCAGTATATGATTTAACATTTATGTGGATTTGACAAATATCCTACATCTGCATAATCGAGCAAAACTGATTTTGTATTGTTAGAATAAATCAAACCAATGTTAGATGTACCTCAGAGATATCGAAATATATGCTTTATTCATTTCCAATGTCTTATTATAGGACATGGATTGAATATTGCTAGTAAATTTACTGCAAACGCTATATTAGGTCTTGTATAGTTAGCAAGATACATGAGTGCACCAATGACACTGAGGTATGATACTTTAGAGTTAAGATCTTCTTCATTACCTTCCTTAGGTCTAAATGAATCATTTTCAATATTAAGTGTTCTATCCATCATTAGAGTACTCAATGGGTTTTCCTTGTCCATGTTAAACCTTTTTCAATATCCTTTATGTATAATTTAATTGATGTACCAATATACCATTTTTAGTATACTCAATTTGTAAACATAGGTAGAACCTAATTTTTCCCAAATCTTTCATTTCAAATTCTTTCTTTAAGTAATCTCTTGCTTTCTTAATTTCTCTATTAGTTCCAGTAATATTTAAATAATCAACATAGATAACAATTATTGTAACATCGAATATTATTTTTCTTATA